CGCCAGTGGCGCTTCGGGACACATCAGTTTCCAGCGAACGCACGCTGCTGTCAGCCCACAGGCTTCAGGAGAGGACCCGCGGCTCTAAGGGGAAGACCTATAGGGTGCTTGAAGTAATGGATTCTTTTTAAGATCCAAATTGGCCTGATCTACATGATAATCAAGCAAGAACACAAAGTTTTGCCCCTTGATGATACATAAATAATTCTAATATAATTACATAGGAAATATAATTATGTTTTGCTATGGGAAACAGAAAACAACACTGGGTGAAATATTACAAGAATGTGTAACAAACCAATGTCCATGTTATTGGTAAAGTTTGATGAAGTGAATAAAGTTTGTGCCACAACTATGTCTGAGAACGAAAGGATAATAAGTCGGGATAATTGCATGAAGGGGGTGTTATAATATAGGATGATATCAAGAAAATGCAATTACCTGCCTCCTTGTTTATTGTAGATGCCTTTTTGTTACACATATTTAGCCAAAGTATTGAATATAATGCATTGGATTCAATGTTATTTATTTTTGTTTGTAAAAATTGGCTTCTTTTTGTATTGGCATAGATGTAAAGTAATTGTTCGCTATGTATGTGTGTGTGTGCTCAAGAACACAAAGAACTGTGGTTCTACTCCTAGAACCTTAAAAGGAAATCAGCCATCTTGGTTAAGTTTACTGGAGTTCACGGACATGAAGAGGTGGACAGCTTGCACCTAAAGAGGATCTGAGAAACTATGAAAAGTCACAACTTATGTCAATCAAAAAGATTCGAACCTAACGCCTGTGGTAAACAACAGGAGTATTAAAGACCGATGAGCTGATTGCCTCTTTGGATACCGATACGTCTCTACCCCCGACGCCTAGAAGCCCAGAGCTGAGGACAAGAATCCCAAGCGGAAGACAAGAAGCCCAGAGCTGACTACAACTTTGATTCAAATGTGATTATTGTATTTTATACTTTAATGATGTTTTATTTGCCTTTACATTTTTGTTTATTATATAAAGAAAAGTTACCAATTAAAAACCTCCTACCGAGGCTTCTATTTATTGTGTTGTAAGACTTTTAATAAGAACATTAGGGTGGCCCTTATTTTTCAAGTTTTGATTTATAATTGTCTGACCCCCTCAAATTGTTCCAATACATGAAAAAATAATTCAGGCAAAATATGAGGTCATTTGAACAATATTTAGAGGTGGCTCGATGACGTTGAAGTTTTGTAAAATCAGTAATTATGCTCAATTTGTGATAATTACCACTTACCTAATTTTATCTCAACTATTTAAATTACATACTTGCTTATTTAACCCTTTCGCACGTACGATCACAATAATGTTTATTTTAGGTTTCAGACATATAAGTACTAAAAAAAAATACATTTAGAGTTTGTAAATTACACACTGATGTCAAAGGAAGAGGCAATAATCCTTTCCATTATAATTAGTTTTATTCATATCAGGTCCGCATTGTGTAAGTAACTTTAAAGTTTACTCTATTCTTCTATCAGTTTACCTGCCACTTACTTTTATGTATTTCGGGAGAAGTGGATGAATTCACGTGTTGTAAATCCAACAGATCCGATTCTCTGAAATGCGTCTGCGGCACAAACTAAGATGGCGGCGCCCATCGCGCATACAGCTCAACTAATGGGATCATTATAAAGGTGTTAAAACAACAAAACACTTCCACAAGCATATATTTCACAATTGGAATATCATATTTCATGCCACATCTAACAAATGTGTGAATATTTTTAATAAAAAAGGAAAAATGACATAAAAGCAGATCATCATTCATTCAGCTCTGTTGTTGCTGCCGCTGCGGTGTGTCACGTGACAAGCAATGACGCGTCACCATGGAAACCATAAAGTGACACATTCTAAATAACGGTCACCTTGAAAAACTCACGCTGGGGGGTCAGCCAGAATATTGTAAACACCTATTTTGCACAAAAGATTTTCTACGCATTTCTTGCAGAAGCATAAATTGTGTTATTTTGCCACTTTTGTGACTTATTTCAAGTATTTGTCATTACTGGCTGTGATTTGCGGTCGTCGGCACTTCAGCACATCGCAAGCAGCAGATCCCAATGGTGACGGGAGGGACAGTTGCTACGCGCTCGCAAGATTATCTCGTTAGCCATGTGGAAGGAATTGAAGGGACTAAGCTACCCACAGGGACCATCGTTCTCGGCCATTTTTCACATCGTCACAATGTTCTGAAAGAGGATATTCGAGCAGCAGCAAACAATACCATACAGAGAGTGGAAGAATTTTGGTTCCGGGCAAGAATTCCGGTCAAGCATCGACAGGACTCCGTTAAAAAAACTTGAGCAATTATTTTGTGACTGGAAGGGGTTGAAAAAGAACAAGAATCGCCAAACAAAGACTCAACGGGCTAACGAAGCCACTTTCACAGATATTATTGCAGGGTTGTTTGACATTGCACATGCAAATGCTATTGAGCTAATCGATGCAGAGACTTACTCGAAAGAAGAGAGAGAGAAGGATAAGCTCTTCCTCGAACTTCAGCGGCAAAAAGGACAACCTGGTTGTATGTTGGGTGTCGACAAAGTGTTGTTGCTGCAGCAACAGAAGCAGAAGGAGAAGCAGGATAAATTGCAAAGCCAACGCCATCGTTCTGAACAAGAAAAAAGTATTCTCTCAGAGTCAGTTGTGTTGGAGAGCAGCAGCAGCAATAATTCCGAGAATAGTTCATCAGAATCGGATAGTGAAAATCCTGGACTATCCACCACAAGTAAGCCTGGTGCACCACCAAGGAAACGGGGTCGCCATCACATTATATCAGCTCCTCTGTCAGCAATGCTTGATAGAAATTTACTGAGTGACAGGGCTGCCATGATGATTGTTTTCGAATCTGCCAAGGCTCTCGGACAAGACCCAGAAGCTCTTGCTCTAAACAGGTCAACCATCCAGCGTCAAGGTCGAAAACACAGAGAAGCAACCGCCGCTGGCATTGTAGAATCATTCATACCAAGCACGGCGTTAACGGTCCACTGGGATGGCAAGTTGATGCTTGACTTAACAGGTAAAGAAAAGGTGAACAGGCTGCCCATTCTGGTTTCAACAATGGGGGAAAAGAAGCTGTTGGCCATTCCAAAGATTTCCACAGGAACAGGGCAAGCAGAGGCCCAGGCAGTTTACAATGCCATCAGAGAATGGGGACTGGACCATCTTGTTTGTGGTATGTGAACGAAGGCAGAGGCCCAGGCAACCAACGAAGCTGCTTTAATACGACCAGCTCCAACACTGGCAGACTGTCTGGAGCCTGTATCCTTCTAGAGCAGCTGCTTGGACGGCCACTTCTACATTTTGGTTGTCGGCATCATATATTGGAGTTGGTGTTGGCTGCCGCATTTGCAGTTTGTATGGGACCCAGCAAGGCACCGGAAGTCCTCATCTTCAAGCGCTTTCAAGGACAATGGTCATCCATTGATCAGAAAATTTATGATGATGCATTTTCAGATGATTTTGCCTTATCTGAGCTATCGGTTATCCGAGATGAAGTCATTGCATTCTGTGAACAGCAGCTGCAGGATATTCAGCCGAGAGATGATTATAGAGAGCTGCTGAAATTAATGCTAATCTTCATGGGAGTGAAATCACCTGATACAAAGTTCAGAGCCCCTGGCCCAATGCATCAAGCTCGCTGGATGGCGAAAGCCATATACAGCATTAAGGTCTGGCTATTCCGATCCCAGTTCAAGCTGACGGCACGCGAATCTCGTGGACTGCTACGTCTTAACATATTTCTTGCCAAGATATATATCAAGTTCTGGTTTCAGGCACCTGTGGCTGCCACCGCACCTAGGAATGATCTACAATTACTAGTCACTCCACTCATATCCTGATCGAGACATCAGTACAGATACATCACGTAAGATAGCTGGGCATCTCTGGTACTTGTCAGAGGATTTGATACTTTTCAGCCTGTTCGATCAGCAGGTGGATTTCACTACGAAGCGAGCAATTCTCAAAGCATTAGAAGAGCGGGTCGGTGAGAAGGATCCGCCGAAACGCGCTCAAGTGGACATGCTGACTATAAAACAGAAAACGCTCGATAACTTTGTCTCGAAGTCCAGCAGAAACCTGTTTTCAATGCTGGGTATACCTGATGCATTCCTGTCTGAAGATCCCGAATCATGGAACAGTAGAGATGATTTCAAAGCTGCGGAGGCAATAATCAATAGTCTGGCGGTAACAAACGACCATGCAGAACGTGGTGTTGCGCTCATCCAAGATGCGTCACAATCTGGGCGCTTTAGGTGTGAAGAACAGCTGCAGTATGCTCTGCAAGTCATTGAGCAAAACCGAATACAATTTCCAGATGCCAAGAAATCAACGCTGCTTGGTGTTAAGAAACTCTGAACTATTGACTTTGAACTGTGCAAACTGTGAAAAGATGCGTATCATCAGTTATCTTACAATAGTCAAATGTATGTTGTGTAAGATATATTTGGTTAAATAATTATTATTGTACTCACATTGAACTAAGATCAAGTAATAGGCTACGTAATTTGATGCATTCTGCAAACTGTGTATAGTATTGAATACAATGCTCAATGCTAAATGTTTTAGAATAAAGAATTTTGCTGTAGAATTGCCTACAAAAACAGCGAACTTTGATGTGCTTGAGCTACCTCTAGATATTAATATTTTTGCCCCATTTTTTTTCTGGGGTGTTTTTAGCATAAATGGAACAACTCTGGGGGGTCAGGCTGCAAAAAAAAAAAAAAAAAAAAAAAAAAAAAAATCCTACACTTAAGGGCCACCTTAAAGAACATACCACATAGAAGTCTTCTGATCAAATTATAAGTGATTTTAAAATGCTTATAATTTATGCCAGACTCAATTTACTTTGATCCTAACACCTTTAACCTAATTATTTATTATTCTCAGGTTAGGTAAAGTACACACCGCAAACCAATTTACCACTTTTATATAAAACTTTGAATAATATTAACCCATTATTAGCAGCATAAGAAAATGCAGATTTATTGAAGATTCTGTGAAATCTCGTTGTAAGAAGTGGAAGACACGACAACAATGACAAAGGCAAAAGAAAAACTGCAAACTTAAGTCCATTTCTCATGCAGCCAAAAGGGGAACAGTCATCGATTGGACGGCGTCCAGTTAAAAAAGTTGATACCATGAAGTTCCTCAGGAAGGTAATCTTGGTCCACTGGCCCTTTGAAGTTTGGGTTATATTTGTATCCTTTAGCGTAGCCCAGATTCTTCATTAGCTTGGTGGGGGCGTTGCGCAGGTGGAGGGGCACGGGCGGTAACGGGCCCTGATGGTTTCTCAGACAGGCCTTGACGTTATTATAGGCCTTGTACACCTCCACAGACTTGGGCGCCCTGGCCATATAAACCACACACTGGGCCAGAATGACCTAAAATAATTCAAGAAGGTGAGATTGAAGGTGAAAAGTTAGTAAGAAAGATCAGGGATATCAAAAAACTACTTCAAGTATATAAACTTTATCGAAGCTTGTTTCTTCAACTGAAATTTTTTTTTTTTAAAGTAATTGTATTTGCAAATTTTTAATTTCACCTCTTTTTTTTTGCAATTGTGAGAGAATTCTGACTTTTTTCCTCAGATTTCTGAGTTATAAACTCACAATTGTGAGAAAGTAGGAATTTTAGAGAAAAAAAGGGGAAATATAAATTTGCAATTCTGACTTTTTTTCTCTCAGAACTGCAAGATATGAACTCGCAATTGCAAGAAAATGTCAGAACTTCCTTGAAGTTCAGAAAGGGTCAAAGCGAATTGCAGGTTTTTATCCACCTTATTCTGTTCTAAACAATGCGCGCCGCCATGACGACGACTCCGGTTGCCTACTTCCGGTTCCTAAGTTACTGTATTAGCAGTGAGAGAATGAGTTCAGGCTCTACGTGCTGTTGTTGGTTGTTTTAACAATTCAAAGAAGATAAAAAAACTTTTTAGAAACTGGGTGCTTTGAGCATAAGATAAAAAGGAGAGAATGCCCATGTCCGGTTCGTATTCAATGCTAGATTAGATGTTTTTGGTTAGCTACGCTAAAACTGAAGCATCCAACGAAAAAGGTATGTCTCTCCGCACCATTTTGTTGACAAACGCGTAATACATTAACAGTAGGGATGGGCATTTCAAGCAAAAATAATAATCGAAGATCGCTGGGTATTATTCAATTATTATTCGAAAATCGCACCCCTACATCACATCACGCACACACTAGCTACACACCAGAGCACATGAGCAAAGCGGAGCAGTAATGCTTAAATATAAGTAAAAAAAAACAACTAAACATACGTTTTATATTTAAGTTTCACAATATAATGTTTTTTTATTTTTTTATTTCATCTATGTTGATTATATGAAAAGGGAACCGCATGGGATGAGTCAGATATGATCATAAGATGCCCAATATATCGGAAAACATTTGGAATGGCTCAGACAGACATTGACCACTTATTAAGTTTTGTTTTGTAGAAAGCCTTTCTTTAAAGTGAATTTCGTTTAGTATAAATTGTATCTTTATTTTAATCAATGTTTTATCAACAAATTGCCAGGAATACTAATAAATAAGAAGCAAATATATATACAGGACACGGAGCCGCGGCCGCGTGAACTGGAGCGTGTCTTATTAATCAACGAAACTCAGCGTAGGGCGCAGGCTATAAGTTACTTGCCTCACATACATGAGAAGTATATCTACAGAAAGCTTGAAATATGTACTTTTAAACAAAATAATTAAAAACGAGCAAAAATGGGCTGCTCTCTGCTATAAGTTACTTGCCTCACATACATGAGAATTATATCTACAGAAAGCTTGAAATATGTACTTTTAAACAAAATAATTAAAAACGAGCAAAAATGGGCTGCTCTCTGCTTATGTATAGGTTAATTCGTATGAAGTGTGCATTTCTCTCTATAGGCGCGTTCTCTACTGCGAACATGGTGAGTCGACTCAGCATCATCAAATTTATCTTTGCAGTCGACACTTACAGAAAACACTAGTTTATTAATAAACAATTCAAATGTTTCATGCATAATCATTACTTTTGCCGGGTTTTTTTGTGGCAAGCTTTATGCGTGCGTTGTGATGCAGAATAGTCAATATATTACGAAAACGCCCATTATGGTTTAGCATTCTCTCCCATATAGTATACATAACTTCCAACCCAACTTCAGTCGTGCACGGGCAGGGGCAGCCCTACTTATTTCACATATTTTCTAACCAGCACATCACTGCGGCGTTCTGAGCGAGCGGCGCTTGATCTTCATAAAACTTCGAACCGGAAAAGGACAACCGGCTTCCGGTTCAAACCCGCTATGAATCATGGGTAAATTCGCTAACCAGGAAAAAGGTGGATGGCACAGGATATGCGCTGTGAGAAACTCAGGCTTTTGAGGAATATTAGACTGCTGTCCCTTTAAGGCCGAATGCACGGATCTAATGTACTGTTACTAGGGCTGTCAGTTAAACGCGTTATTAACGGCGTTAACGCAAACCCATTTTAACGGCGTTAACGCAAACCCATTTTAACGGCGTTAATTTTTTTAGCGCGCGATTAACGGTCTTTTTGGCCTAGCAAACTTTGTAGTTTTTTTCACATGCTTTTGCAACAGGACGCGGCAGGACGCTTTGTTGTTGCGTCGACCAAAGGGCAAGCGGATCTAGCTAGACCGGAAACAAAACAACAGGCACGCCGCACACACTCGTTTGGGCTTGCGAGCCGGCCAAATAGTAGGTTAACGTTACGTTTTGAGTGGATGGCGAGCGCGAGACGCCGAAATGGATGCCAATAAGATTCTGAATGGAAAGTTTACTTTTAAAAAGTTGCCAAATGGTTCCATTGACAAGACCAAAGTGATCTGTGTGTTTTGTCGTTGTGAACTGAGCTATCATCATTGCTGCACGTCCAGTCTGAAATAGCACTTGATGATGGCCAAGCACGCACACACACACGCACACACACACACACACACACACACACACACACAGCTGATGCGAATTCTCCGCCCCCTCGTCAATATCAGTCCCTCGTCAGTATTTCTTTCACCCTTTTATTGATGGACAGTGTTACATTGTGTGAGAGATTATTTGCTCCAAGTGAGAATGTTAGTGTGAAATTGAACACAGTATATGCCAATGTTGTTTTCAATAAAAAACATTTGCACAAAGCAAGCCGATCCACTTTTCCATGTTGATAAGAGCATTAAAATGAGAAAAAATGGGACAAAAAGAAATCAAGGGACATTTAGAATAGATAAAAATGTGCGATTAATTGCGATTAATCGCAAATTAACTATGACACTAGTGTGATTAATCGCGATTAAATATTTTAATCGTTTGACAGCACTAACTGTTACACATACACTTGTCTTGTGAGTTTTCTGTCATCTGATCGGCCTTTATAGAGACCACCGGTCAAACCATATAAAGCTATTATTGGCTATTAACCATCAGCGCCCGATCAATCGGACCACCCTCAAATAACAGTTAAAAGCAGTTAAACTAATGTAGATCAATAATTGTTTTAGTATCATATTGTGACTCCCAAAATCTAAATTGGATCGAATCGAGATGTGCCTAAAGATTCCCACCACTAGCAGCAATTGCAGTGTATTAGTCTGTGTTGTACCTCACATTCGGGCATGCCCATGAAGTGACAGGCCTGGAACGCCGAGACAGCCTGAGTGAGCGCCACAGGGTCCGCCAGACCTTTAGAAGAGTCCACAACAGATCCAGTCTGTCAAGACGTTCACTTTTGGATCACACACTATTATGAATTTACTATTATGGTAAAACAACACAGGTTTTGGAAAACAAAGGAGCAGCTACTTACCAATATCCTCACTAGCAAACCGGAGCAGTCTGCGGGCCACATACAGGGGGTCTTCACCTCCCTCCAGCATTCTTCCCAGCCAATAGAGGGCAGCATTTGTTTCTGATCCTCTCATTGACTTGTGCAGGGCTGAGATACAGTTATAGTGCTCCTCACCTGTGTGTCACAGAGTTTACATTTCTAGTGAACTGTGGATCTGACTAAGTGTATTATGTGTCGGTGAGAGTATGAGTACAACTACCTGTAAACATCTATGTGCATATTGACAATATGCAGTAAACATATAAAGGTTAAGCTCAAGACTGACTGTTCATACAAACATGAACTCTGATTTCATAGCATGAACACTCTGTGAACACAGTTACAATGACTTATTCAAGTCACCTTTATTTATATGTCGCTTTTTAGGATACAGATTGTTTCAAAGCAGCTTTACAGTGATAACAGGAAAATAATGCAATGAAGGTTTTTTTTCTAGAAGATAGAAAAAGTCCAGCACAAGTAAGTGATGTCTGACTGAGTGAACCGTGAATTGCACTGACTGAGGACAATTACCATTAATATAGAAGTTTTTGGCAATAATTTACTTAAAGGTAGGGATGTCCCGATCCGATCACGCGATCGGAAATCGGCCCGATCACGTGGTTTCAGACTCGATCGGAATCGGACGTTACCTCCCGATCAGGACTCGGATATATGTAAATTAGGGGTGTAACGGTACATGTATTCGTAATTATTGAACCGTTTCGGTACGAGGCTTCCGGTTCGGTACGCATACAAACCGAACGATTCCTAGGACCATTTTTCCTGCAGACAAAATCCGCGCTGGCGCGACCACCACAACGTTGCGCAACATCAAATGGCAAATTCTCTGTACGGCCGTGATATTTCACGTAGTGAAACTACGCAAGACTTCTAGGTTGAACGTCACACGTAGGCTCACTATTGGCCGATGCTGGTCATGTGTGTGATGCGTGACTACAACCTAAAAGCTTTGCGTAGTTTCACTACGTGGAATATCACGGCCGTACAGAGAAGGAAATGATTAGTTGAATAAAGTCGTTATTTTTGTTTGTTTTTTTGCGCACAAAAAGTATTCTCGTCGCTTGATAAACTTAAGATTGAGCCACTGTAGTCACTCGGACTATTTTAACGATGTCTTTAATAACTTTTGGGCCGGCCAGTTTCGATCCCTTAAGAAGCCTATGGAGGAGTGATCCAGCTCTCAGATTTAATCAGAAATATCTTAATTTGTGTTCCGAAGATGAACGAAAGTCTTACGGGGTTGAACAACATGAGGGCGAGTAATTACTGACAGAATTTACATTTTTGGGTGAACTAACCCTTTAAGACAAAACATGGGAGTACAAAACGCTCAACCGCTCTCATGAACCAGTCCTATTGATATACATTTCATGTTTATAAATTCCTAGAATATATTCCTTCATAGTAACGCTCACTTGCCTGGAATGTATTCGTTTTAATAAAAATGTTCGGAAATATTCTGAAAACTATTGCAAGTAATGTAGGGATAATCTGGGATTGCTTGAACTTGCATTAATTCTTGCAACTACACATTCCTGAGGGATTTTATTTATTTATTTAAAAGGGACAATGCATATGAATGAACATAGTTTTTCAGCAATGTACATATGCCAAAATTAGCCCCCAGGCTAATTTATTAATTAACTCAATAAATTAAAATATATTTTATCAAAAACAGTTCAAAAACATAGTAAGCTGCCTGGATGCAAAATATCTTATAAATAAATAAATAAAAATTATTATAAATAAAACATTTACATCAGCATGTTGCTAAACTAATAAGCGAATGACAAAATACTTTAATAAGCTTAAAAATATGTGACACAAATTCAAGACCGTAAAAGCAACATCACAATGGGAAACGGCTGCAGATTTGTGGTAGCCTAATTCGTGGAAGTGCAACAACTGGACATCTGTCGTCACAGGTTAGTTTAGCCACAATAATTGCATTAGATGAAATGGACTGGTTATTGGATAATAACTTCAGTGCAAACCGGACATACCTGCTTTGTCATAAAGAATGTGGGATCTCTGAAGGCCCTCTTTAATGTGTTGCTCACGCACGATTATCTGCTGAGGGCCGGCGTTGGGATTGGAGGAAGCCGCGCGCACCTGGACAACACACGCCTGCACCGCCAGCTGAAGGCCGTTCAGAGCGGCTCGGGCATCACCGTCACACAGGTGCGCCACAGTGTCCAGGGCTTTCTGCTCAACACACACCTGAGATCTGAAGACAAACCACATTGAGTTCAGGCCTTTTCAAGTGCAAGACGACGACAAAGAGAACTCAATTCGGCACTCGCACTGTGTGGTGAGCCAATTCTCATACAGAACATGATACTGAATTTAGTTCTTGTCCATGTCTTCTTGCTCTTGAATCCACAAATACACACACAATTGTCCAAATATCTTTATAAACAGTCAGTTACGTCTTAAATGAGCGGAAACAGTTGAGAAAGAACACGTGCAACAGTAGATTGGATCCTGCATGGGGTCTTAAAGTGACATCAACCTAATAAACCTGATGCCATCTATGTCATCAAATGAATAGTTGTTCCTCAAGTTGTTTCAAACCTGTATGAATTTCTTTCTTCTGCTGAACACACTAGAAGGTATTTTGAAGAATGTCGGTAAGAAAAAAGTAATACATTTTTTTTTAAAAATACTATGGAAGTCAATGGTGTCCATCAACTGTCTGGTTACCGACATTCTTCAAAATATCTTCCTTTGTGTTCAGCAGAAGAAAGAGATTCATACAGGTTTTTAACCAACTTGAGGGTGAGTAAATGATGTCAAAATTTCCATTTTTAAGTGAACTATTCCTTTAATGTTAATCAAAGAACAAATGAAAAAGAATCTCACTCACTGATCTTGACTGAATAACTTTTATTAATACAGATTTATTTTACGTTTGATTTCAATTTCTGTACCTGAACTTTGTTCAGCTGTATTTATTTGTGACATTGCCAATTTGTTTATTTCTTCTTATTATTACTGTTTACTTGTCTTTATTAATCTCTGACATTTATGTTAGTTAGTCCAGTTGTTTTTGTTGTGGTATTTATGTTAAAACCATAGAAAAAATATTAGTGATCTTTAGGCTGCTGATTTTTGTTAATGAAAATCAGCTACAACAAATGTTTCCAAAAGACACAGAATAAATATGTTTGATATAAATGTTTGACTAAATGTTTTTACCTTACTGGAATCGAAACTGGGAAACAATAAGAATTGGAATTGATAAGAAGAATAGGAATCGCTAAAATTCAAACAATACCCAACCCTAGTGAAAACACTAGGCATTTACTTGCTGTGTTGTCAAGCTCTGTTAACTTATCAGTGGCTTTTCCAAATCCCAAACCACTTTTGATGCCAGGAAGATAAAAATAAACCAGACAACAACCCAAATCACCACTAAAACAATACAGCAAAGCCCTGGCTCTAGTGATGGTGGAGTCAGAAAATGTGAAAATCTATTTAATTAAGCAGTTGCAACTTAAGATCTGAGACATTGCTATTTTACTTACAATTTTACTTTTTTTTCCCGTTATTATAACTTAACACAAAATAACTCTCTCAAAGATGAAGTTGTCTGTCCTTAAAACCATACACCAGCATGGGTGAAGGAAGGGACTGTAACACCCAAATCCAACAGAAATCCTAGCCTGACCTACCCATCATTAATGAACTGTTGCGCTGGTTTCATTTAGGCAGTTCTGACATTAAAATATTGTCCGAGTGCAAGAACAGAGCGTCCTACAAGACCAGACGAGAGAGGGAGTCTGGATCTTTGCCCTAATGTTTAACTGGAGATCTCATCTTACCCACATCTATGACAGCGTCCGTCCACACATGCAAGTTAACAAAAAAAAAAAAAATCTGACTTGGCATGCAGGGCTACTATATATTTATTATTAAATCTTATTCTGATTAATTGTATTGCTTTCAGCTTTATGACAGTCAATTACTGTTTGGGGATACCATTTAAATAAAATAAAATGGAAACAAAAACAAAATTCTCTGTAACTTCTCTCATAGTCGCCCTGAGTTCACATGCACGGAGCAATAAAGACTTTTTGCCCAAAAGTGTCCTCTTAATTGTCTTCTAGGACATCTCACAGACTTATCGCACATTCCCAACTTCAAGGAGGCAGTCCAAAACAGTGAATCTAATCACAATATAGGCAACAGCTCACATCAAGAATGAATAAAGTGGCGTCAATGAGTTTGAATTAGGGTATTTGGGGAAAAAACAGTGTAAAGAGAGAGTGTGATCCATATTATTTCTCTAAATGAAGCATATTTATTCAAGCCACAAAAACAAACCTGTTACTGAAAAATGCCTAACACACAATCTCCTATGGTGAAGTCAGTACGTACATATATTTGCCCTAAATTGTTGTATCTTAATGGAAAACGATGTGAGTGACGCTGTGGTGCGGTATGAATCTGAACAGTCACAGTGTGCGACCCTCCTTACGTCTTGTTTCGCAATTGTTTGCGACTCCTTTAAGGGAAAGGGCTCTAACAGCGATGCCATGCAAAGTGATAGAACAATTTATGAAGCATAACCTTCCCAAACTATAAAGCATTGATAGAAAATCATGTTTATAATATCTATATCATCATGATTTTCTATAAGGCTGCTTTGAACTTGACTAATAAAGCAATAGGTCAATAAATCAGTATGCTGCAGATTATTGAAGGGTTGGTCTTAGGCTTGACGGGGAGCAGAAACCAGCAGAATCTGGAGAGTTTTCGTGGGATATAACAGCGATTAAACAATACTAGATATTTCCATTTCTACACAAGTGGTCCTACTCATCAAATGTTGTATTCTCATCCGTAAGATCCAAGTCACAGATTGCTCTTCAGACCGAGTCTCATAAAACAATGAGAACATTGGGTTCATTGAAACTCAACACCGGCTCCAAGCGTTTGTGTTTACGGCAGACGCTTCCATGACTCCTAAGGGCCCTAAAACCTGATCTGGAGCAGTTCACAGCTGGTACACTTGAGGTCAGGGTTAGAGACAACTGTTTGTCCTACTTACCATTCCCAATGACTAACAAGCCAATAAATCCATCAAAATGAGGCATTAAGGTGGGTGGAAGAGCCATCTCTGTTTCGGGTGATACGCTGTGATAACAAGAGCACAGCTGACACTTACTCTGAGCAGATGTCCGAAGAGTCCCGTTCCACTGCTTCCCCATTCAACACCTGCAGTCCGAGGAAGTCTACAGCCCGACGCAGAATCAAGCCCATCGACTCCACCGACAACCTCTCCAGCACCAGAACCCTGCACCGACTCAGCAACGCGCTGTTGACCTGGAAGGACGGGTTCTCTGTGGTGGCCCCAATAAGAGTGATCGTCCCACACTCCACGTGAGGCAGAAAGGTGTCCTGATGCCAGAACGGGAAGAGGAATATTGAAGTACGGTAACATTGGGGGGAAAGAGAAGACACCAAGCATTCCAAAAAAATGGCCAAATATCAAAGGTGAGTCTGTTCTAGAAGTAATGATGATAGTGTTGATATCTCTGTCTTTTAACCCTCTGGGGTCCTTCGGCCCAAATGGACCCGAAGCATTTAAATATTTTTTTTTTTTAAATCATTGCTTTATCGGAATGGTCCGAAATTTGGTGACTTTGTTGGTACTTGGCATATGAACACCCCAAAAAATTGGGGACAGGATTTGAATAGTCTAAGTGGTTCTAAAAAAAATAGTCACACTCAGGACCTTCGGGTCCAAATGGACCCGCATAGGAAATGAATGGGAAATTGGCAAAAATGTGAAAATACAGAGTTATTTTGTGCGTACAAACTACAAATCAGCCACGATCCAGAAAAAAAGCACACAACAGTGAAGGGGTGAATCTATAAAACATCAAGAGTGCAAAACAGACACATCCACACACACACACACACACACACACACACAAACACACTTTTATACACATACACACTAATAAATTCAGATTACATATGGGTTTTGAATTTTTAAAATGCTCAGTTTGTCCACCAGATGGCATCCATCTCATTTCAAAAATTGCTTTCATGAGGCCTAGGCTTGACTCTAAAATGAAATACAGCTTTAAAAAAAATTAAAAAAAATAAAAATATTTTTTTTAAATTTCTATTATATTCAATGGGGAAAAAATGGGTCATAATTATTGCATTAATATTAATTATAAATCATTTTTATTTTTGAAATTATCTCAAAACACCAAAAAAGAAAAGAAAAAATATTATAAAAAACAAGTAAAAAAAAAAAAAAGATGATTTTTTAAAAATAAATATTAATCCCACCCTTCCGGCCCATTTGGACCCGAAGGTCCTGAGTGTGACTCTGAAATGAAGGACCCCAGAGGGTTAAAAGCTAATTTTTTCTTTTTAAATAGGCACTTTTTCAGACTAGTGCAGGCTTAGGTACCAAGTTGCTACTGGAATGTAAAAAATGTGACGCTTTGAGCGGAATCGTAAACACCTTGATTGACGACACTTTTCCAGACCTATAGATTGTTCTAGATCTCTTGCACGATTCTGGATAAATTGAGAATCATGATGTGATACTGTATGGATTACTCATGCAGCTCTAGATTGTTCGTTTTGTTTCCGAAAACAGGGACTTACATTTTTGCGATGTCGCATTTTCTTCTTGGTTTGGTTCGCTTCTACAAGGCAACATTTCAAAGAGCACCAAAATGTGTTTATGCAGGTGACGTGAGTAAAACTGCGCTTTCATTGGTCAGAGTGCACCTGTTCATGTTTGTTGTGGCTTTAGCTGTCGTTACACTGACTTGTACAAATGTATAGAACCATTTATAACCTCTCAAACTGATGTATAGAGTGGGAATAAAGGCTTTGTCTGGACAGCACTGTTGTAATGCACTGGTTTCAATTACATGACATTTTAAGATGGAGGCGCTCTTTGGTTTTCAACCATGATAACTAATGTGCTCACACAGAGAATCAGACACTGCTGCTTTTTACGGAACACATTTCCCATTATGAATTATAATATCGCTCGGTTCATTGGTGTGTTGGGTCTGATTGCTTTGTCACCACAAGCGAACCCCTCCAGAACTTGTTTTCAATCGGGGCGAGACCACCTTGTTCAGATCGATCGTTATGCCTTGTTCTTTTATGCCTAAACGACACAAACTAAGGGAGAAAACGTGGCATGTTCCAAAAACAAATGTTCCAAACTAGCCAGGTGAGAAAACGGCCATAACGAATTATGCAGAACTCAACATTGCGTCAAGGTGCGGTCACATTTAGACTTTTCCAGCTATTTTTTGTGGTCGGAATCAAGTTCTGGAATTTCGCTTCAGAGCTAAAGATTTCCCCATGACAGATTTCGCATTGTATTCAAATTGAATGAATAAAAAATGCTTCAACGAAAGATGGTTGTATTGAAAGGAACTATTTGTCTGATTAACTGGACATGTTTGCACCCGGTGACACGGATGAGGTACACAATTATCTTTATCTTCCTGTTGACCTCATCTTTTTACCACATATTTTCGGTCTAATAATTTCCAGCTTGAAAGCCTCATACTCACGTTGGTATTCTGGCAGCACACAATAAAGAGGCGCAATAAATTCCCATATAAATATACGTCGCTCCTTTTTTTGTCCGGGGAGGGGGGGGGTATGTTTCAGGTTCTTTGAATCCAAGCTAAATAAGAAGGAATGAGAAGGGTATCCTGAGCCTGGCATATTGTCTGCTGCATTTAGAAATATAATTATGGGTGTATGTTAAGGCCACTGGCGCTGTCGTGAAGGATACACTGTACTGGCTGTCTGGCATACACAAATAAACATGCTTCCAGGGTGATCCTGTGCCAGCTGTACCTACACAAGACCTCAAACAAACGTGAACTTACATTTAATGACATGCATTGGTCACCAAAAGTACTTGGAGAGCTGCACGCAAAAACATCTGAATTTCAAATCAAGTGTCTGTATCTAAAATGTACCATATGAAGTCAGTTCTCCGAATTACATGAACTATCATCATGTTCCGCTAATGTTTTACAACCACAAATGTCTTGTCTTCAATTTCAAAAACAGATCTATTATGTTTGATTTTCTAGTGTTTTTACCTAATGTTAGCCTAGAAATCTAGACGCACCCTAGCGGCAGCGAAAATTATTTCGCAGCCAGTGTGGTCTAGCAACTCTCCATAGGCTTTTGAGCTGGAAAAACCAAAAACTCGTCAGGCCAATCACATCGTGTATAGAGTCGGCGGGCGGGCTTAACACAATGACGGCACAGTTCATGACGTTCCGCGTGATTTCCATAGGTGATTTTTGAAGATGCAGCGGTCTTTCGAATCGGCTTTGGCCGCGACTCTGGAGGACTTGGAGTTAAGAGAACGTCACTTAAGTCATTCTTAAAAAAGGAAGATGTGTTCGGATTTTTGCCGTCCTGATACGGCAAAAGTTTAATATATCAATTAGCTCCGCTGGTGGAAAAACGCATGGGACTCACTCAGCCACAGCCGTTCGTTGCTCTGGTTGGTTGTAGCGCTATCCTATTGCGTGCAGAGTGATTTTGAAAGGTAACCGTTTATCCCGCCCCTCGGATTGAGGCATGTCAATGGAGAGTTCCCAGACCTAACATCTTGATGTAGGTCTGGCATGCCAGGCTAACCTAATGTGGTGACATTCATAAATTCTATGGCTTTAGCATCCAGAGACTGTATCTCTAATTTAAGGTAACGAACCTGCTGGGATTTGTTGAAGCGATGTATCTCGTCGATGAACAGAACAGTCTTTCTCTTGCACAGACGAAGCTCATTCTGGGCCTGTTTGATGACCTCACGCACATCACTGGTTGACGCGCTGGTGGCGGAGAGCGTCACGAAGCGTCCTGTACCTTTCTTCTTAAAAGAACTGGCAATAATATGGGCCAGGGTGGTCTGTAAACAAGAAACAGCATGGGATGGTGAGATTTACAAGAATCTTGTCATGATTGCATCAAATGTGATCACTTTTGACTCAAGATCAAGTTTGTTGTTTGCAACGTATCACTTCCATTTGAAATAGTTGAGAACGACTAAATTCGACATGAGCGAACTCAAGTAGAGGGGAACAGACCCCCAACATGTGACACTGGCTCTGCTGTAGATCCATGTGACAATCTATAAAATAACAAAAATAAATGAGTGAAACCAGATAGTTGACACAGGAAGGTCCCCGTTTCTGAATCCCCCAAGTTAGTTTTCCATTACACATCACAAAGTGAACTATCCATCACAGCAATCGAAAATAAGCTTCTAGTCTACACTGAAAAGAGTACCTCTCGACATCCGTACAAGTATTGAAGGCAAGATAATAACAGGGTGAATGTCACAAAGAAATGTCTGAGCCACTCAAAAATCAAAAGGGAAATAAACAGAAATGACATTCAAGCACATTACATTCTCATTACCATAATGCAGTAGTGAAAATCATCCTGTCCCACCACTATCTTTTCAGAATAGTAAGTTCACATAATGACCCCCAGGGACATTATTCTGCACCTGTCAACAGCTAATTTGACCCTTTTCACGCGTCTTAACAAGTCACTTTAGAATAGAATATAATTGGGTCAACCAGCTCAAATGAAACCAATGACATTGGTTAAAGATCTTTACTGTATAGAAGACATTAAATGCTCTATTATGGCCAAAACATTGACGCACACATGACTTTTTATAAACTCTCAGGCTCTGTTTACTCCTGGTATTAAGATGTGTTTTGGTTGATCGGATTACAAGTAGACGAGAGACACATTCCCGTTTAAAAAAGGAGTTTTAATCCGTCTCTTTTGTCCACTTTCACACACTTCTGTCCTGAATTCTTCGAGGGGAGGGTCCATGGTCGGGTAAATGAATGAACTTTTTCAGATCTTTCAATCAAATAGCTCACGCAATTCCATATGAACGTGTCCGGAGACGACGGGAAAAACACACCGAGAGCTTCAGCTTTAGTTTCTGCTCTGACAGACACAAGACCAGCCGAACGCTGTGAGTGTGTGTTAGAGATCAGGAATGCTGAGGAACATTGTGTTTCATACGTTTTTCATCTTCAAACCAAATTTGTGTCTCCAGCCGACAGTTAAACCCCGTCTGGCTATCGCTCTTCTCATAATGTCACGCATTAGTTCAGTAGACGGAGAGAAGACGCTCTTTAGTGGCTGTTTGAACACATTCGATCACATGAGCGTTTACACTACGAAAGCAATCCGGTCGAATGTGTTTTCAACTTCCTCTGGAAGTGGTCGACAGTGGACAAGCTCAAAGCCTCTTAAACCCCGTTTACACCTGTGTTTAGTGTCGTCTACTAGTGATCCAAATCGACCGAAACACATCTTAACACCAGCTGTAAACAGGGCCATAAATTCAAAGCTTCAAAAAGGGGGGTTTGGTAGCAATGCATTAGAAGAACCTTTCTTTTATAGTATTATGAAGAACATTTTAAAAATCTAAATAACCTTTAGTGCAATGAGAAGGAACCATCAATGCAAATGAAGAATCTTTAAGAGTGTAACTGTAATGAGACTGTTTGGGGGAATGCAAATATTTGAAAATTAATTTTTTTTTGGAAATATAATGAAGGATCGGCCTGATATTTAAAGAGTTTATAGAGTTCAGCCAAAAATGTTAAATGCTACATCATTATGGAATGACATTTATAACAGAAGTCTTTTGTTTGTGGAACACAAAATAATTCTGAAAAATGGGAAACAGGAAAAAAAAAAAGCATTCTTTTGTGTTCCGCAGAAGAAATAAAATCCACACAGGATTAACATGACAGGGTGAACTATTCTTTGGCATATTTTCAAGCTGTTAAAATGATTTTTTGAGGGTCTGTAACATCCGTTAACATATATCTGGAGTCTCAGAGACCAGGATAAAGGACTTTTGAAACACATTATAAACAAAATGTCTTACTTGATGATGTTTTATTTATTCGATAACACACATTTGTGAGTATCTCCCTTAAAGTCAGCATGAAATTAAAGTTGAGATATTGCTTCCCAATTGAAAAAGAAAAAAGAAAAAAAAAAGGTTTTGTCTATGGGAAATGTACAGGTGAAACTAAAAAAATTGGAATATCGTGCAAAAGTTATAATTATGATGATTATGGCTTACAGCTTATGAAAACCCCAAATTCAAAATCTCAGAAAATTAGAATATTACAAGGATTTTAAATACAGAAATGTCGGCCCTCTGAAAAGTATAATCATGCATGTGTATATAGTTATATATACTAAATATATTAGTTTCACCTTTTAATTTAAATTACTGAAATTCACAAACTTTAGCACGATATTCAAATTTTTCGAGTTTCACCTGTAGCTTAGGTTATGTGATCGTTGTTGTTTTCTATTGCTGTGATCTCATGCGAGTGAAAGTGGAAGGCGAAGTTATTTTAAATAAAGATTATGGGCACATTAATAAAAAAAACAATACAATAATGATGTGTGTGATAATAAAGAATGCAATATTTTATAAAGAAAAAAAAGAACTGTCCATTTTGATTTCATGGTGATTTTGGAGAGCATAAGGCTTGAAGGTATCTAGTGCAAATGGGTGAATTAACTACAAACCAGAGACCTTTCCGCAGCCTGGCGGGCCCCAGAGTATCAGAGATGGGATGTCCTGTGACTGAAGCAGGGGTCTCAGCAGGGTCTGCTCTCCAAGCAGTTTATTCTGCCCGAAATACTCCTCCAGGGTGCTGGGTCTCAGGACTTCAGCCAGGGGTTTGTCATTGTTCAGACACAATGCTCTGGGTGAAGAAGCAGCTGGTGCATCTGGACACTCAGGCTTCACGTCTGGACTGATGGACACTTCTGTAACGCTACTCTCTGTGGCCAAAGATGCGGGCTTCAGTTTCTGGTGATCAGTCGCTTTAGATCTGCTTTGAAACATGGAGAACACTGCAGAAGGGCGGGTGTCAGCAGTGCCAGTGCGAGGTTTTTTGGAGGGTGGTCCAGATGTGTGATGATGAACATCATTGCCCTGTAAACACTCATCCAAGTGCGCATTAATTCTGCCCGGTTCAAAGTCACACGCGCAAACCGGACACTTCACGGCACGATCATCCGACGCATTCTCCGCCATGCCCACACTGAATCCCTCTGCTTATTCCCCGAATGTGGTGTATAAATCACCTGTCGTGCCTTCTTGTTGACATTCATCCACGTGTGGGGAAAGAGCGCTCTTCCGAGAGGTTATTATGACGCGGGAGAATGAAATCTCGTCTCGCGAGATTCTTTAGTGACAGGAAAGTTAACTTGAGTTCCATTTCCACGTGAAGTTCGAAGTTGGAATTTAGAAGGGCGCTCTTCATTCGCGAAAGAAACACACTGCACGGTGTCTGTTTCGACGGAGTTTACTTCGATTCGTAATGAAATGTGTCTTGTGAGCCGGAAACGGTGTAGACTTACCGGAAGAAATTTAAATTAAAGTAGCCAACTTCATAAGTCAAAGTTAAGATGTAAAACAACACCTATATCAATTATATGAGCCATGTGACAAGTTGCAATTAAATATTATTTTGCAATTTTAGGAAATCGCTTTTTGTAAATTAAAAATTTTTTTAATTTTAAATTAAAATTTAAACCCTACAAATGTGTAGTCTAGTCATCATGTTTTAATAACCATAAGCTTAAGAACTAGGTCAAGTTATAATATCTGATTAATAAAAGTTTAATTAATATGTATTTGTATAGAGCTTTTCACAATACATTGTTTCAAAGCAGCTTTACAGAAAATGCATGTGTCTACATTACAATTTAGAGTAATCTTTTATCAGAGGTGACTGTCAACGTAATGTCCATATGTCACGAATGTTCAGTTCTTAGATACAAACCCATGCATTTAGATAACATCATGTATTCATTTTAGGAAGGAACAATGAGCTTATGAAAGTAATTATTACAAGTTGTGAACATAATGATTACAATAGGCTATAGAAAATGTGTCAGTGGTGGTACAGAACCGAATAGTGTTGGTTTGGTGTCGGGGGTCTCCTGTCCTGCATGACTGTCTTCTTGTTGTCTGCTTTGATGAATTTATTAAACAACAGAAAGTAGCCTATTGTAATTACAGTTTTCATCATGGCTCGTGTCTAACAACTAGTGTTAGAACAAGATAATAATAACAACAACATATGATTGCTTTTTAAGTTCTTTATTTGGAATTGAGTGCATTCACTTCCTGCTGCAGAATTTTACTGATGGACTAATTCATTTCGACTTTCTTTTTACGCATCTAGCCCTAAAAAGCAACCAAGCCACGAGAGGCCAGTGATTGAAGTGACCCTGCTCAAAAACACAGAGACTCCAGATGAGTCTGCTCAATTCAAACAGGCCAGCATACATTTGGGAAAACTGGCCTTTTTCCACTATCTGGAGAGGGTCGAGACCATGCGCTGCTTCTGGGAGCTGAAGCATATTCAGCTCGAGGGCGAACAGGTATAGGCTGTGCACACACACACACACACAAAGACTGTTTACCTCAGACAACGTTATTATTTACATGTGATTTAACTTAGGCGTTTGAATTCCATGCCAGTCATGCCCTGTCTTCCTTTAGCTGTACTCACTGCTATAGCATGGCACCATTAACAGTAATGTCTGAATCTTATAACATGTTTAACTTAAATGCAATTAGCTTCAGATAGCATCTGCCAATCCATGAATGTGTATTTACCATATAGTTTGAGATGTGTCTCTCAAACTTTGGTTCCACAGTGATAAAACATGGCACACGGCTGCCATCTAGTGGAGTGGGCTGTGCAACTTCAATGACTACACTTACATTAAGCACATTAAGATAAATGCGAATACATGGAAATCAGCTATTGATAAATGTATTAGGTCTATTTTTTCATTGTTTTATTTTATTTTCAATGAGTAAGAGTGCATTCCAATCTAAATAACAGCACAGGTATTAAACAGGTTGTAATGGTAATAAGATCAACTTAAATAATTGTTAGGTTAACATTGTGGAACATCTGCACAAATTAAACGTATTAGAAGTCTGAAGAAATTGTATTATAAATCTTTTTTGAAAGAAACAGTTGATTGCATCTATATGCAGGGCCAGATTCAGCAAAATTGTGTATTTCTGTTTTCTGTTGTTCCTGGCTTGTTATGAATAAATAGTTGATAATAAATCCTTAAAAACGCATAAAATATATGAGAAATTAATTAATAGATTAATGAGTAATAAATGAAGAAAGTAACCTAGACTGATTTGTACGTATAAACAAAGTTGAAGTGCAGAAATGCTTGTTGAAATGCAACTATTACACAGGAAGGAGCCATGCAACATCTTAAAGGGGACCCCCTTTTTAAGAGATGTACAATAAGTCTCTGATATCAAACCGGAGTCGGACAATAATGCCTCCAGAGCCAGAGAATATATCCTGGATGGAGATAGAACAGGTATAGTTTAGTTTAATTACGGTTATAACTTATGTTGTCATCTGCTTTTATCCACTACAAGCCTGCTGTAGCGGACCCGTCCGAATGATGGCCAAAACTTTACTGATGAGTTTGATGAAGTTTATTGTACATCACACAAAACATGAAGCGTCTGTTTTATTCCAGAGAATCACTGTAAGAGCTGCATAAATACAGTACAAGAAGTGTGCATTAAAGTCTTATCCATAAACTCTCTCTCTCTCTCTCTCTCTCTCTCTCTCTCTCTCTTACGTAAGAGTAGGGGTAAATATGGATCTGAGCGTTTGGAGAGATTGTTAATTATTTATGAGGATTATAAAAAAAAGTATTGGATGGATTTTTATGATTATAGGCTGGTTGTTTACACAAACTGTAGACACATCTGTGTTCAAACACCTTATAAAAATGAATTTAGCATAATAGGTCCCCTTTAAAGTCCCCCTGTGATGAAAATTAAGCTTTGTATGCCTATGTGGTGTTTTTGACAAACCATGTGTAAATTCATAAATCAACACCATTGGTTCACTGCAGTTTTAAGGAGAAAATACTCGGCAAAGACAGTCTCAAAAACACGGTTTGAAATCGCTGGTGTTTCTGGCATCACTAACTTCCTCGTAACCAATCAGATCAACGTGTGATCGTCAACCAGTGGATCTCTGAGCTGAGTGAGTGAGTGGAGGCGGGGCTCATTTGCATATTCATAGAACCACAAATGCTAAATGAGGCAAGGGTGTCGAGCTACATTAAAGCTATTTTAAAGCATGAAGACGTTTTTTCAAGGAAAAATCATTTAAATTAGTGCTGTCAAACGATTAAAATATTTAATCGCGATTAATTGCATTAATGCCATAGTTAACTCGCGATTAATCGCTATTAATCGCACATTTTTATCTATTCAAAATGTCTCTTGATTTCTTTTTGTCCCATTATTTTTTCTCATTTTAATGCTCTTATCAACATGGAAAAGTGGATCGGCTTGCTTTGTGCAAATATTTTTTTATTGAAAACAACATTGGCATATACTGTGTTCAATTTCACACTAAAATTCTCACTTGGAGCAAATAATCTCTCACACAATGTAACACTGTCCATCAATAAAAGGGTGAAAGAAATACTGACGAGGTCCTGATATTGACGAGGGGGCGGAGAATTCGCATCAGCTGTGTGTGTGTGTGCTTGGCCATCATCAAGTGGTATTTCAGACTGGACGTGCTGCGATGATGATAGCTCAGTTCACAACGACAAAACGCACAGATCACTTTGGTCTTGTCAATGGAACCATTTGGCAACTTTTTAAAAGTGAACTTTCCATTCAGAATCTTATTGGCATCCATTTTGGCGTCTCGTGCTCGTCATCCACTCAAAACGTAACGTTAACCTACTATTTGGCCGGCTCGCAAGCCCAAACAAGTGTGTGCGGCGTGCCTGTTGTTTTGTTTCCGGTCTAGCTAGATCCGCTTGCGCTTTGGTCGACGAAGCAACAAAACGTCCTCGCGCATTGAAATTAATGGGTTTCATCCGCTCCGCGCATGATGCCGCGTCCTGTTGCAAAAGCATGTGAAAAAAAAAACGACAAAGTTTGCTAGGCCAAAAAGACCGTTAATTGCGCGATAAAAAAATTGACGCCGTTCAAATGGGTTTGCATTAACGCCGTTAATAACGCGTTTAACTGACAGCCCTAGTTTAAATATGTCCTTTTTTAACTACAAGGGGAGTTTAAGTCTAATTCACTCTGCGACGACAAAAGATACTTTCATTGTGATCCGTGTGTTACCCGTCGGCACATGTTTTCGCCACTAAACATCTTCAGTCTGCAATTGTCAGGTTGTGTAATATCTGACAAATGACATACTGTGATTGTCAGGATTGGTCGGCGTCTGTCAATGCAGTATTAATAAGCCTTCACACCACAGCAACAAACACTCACTTGCCACTGTCTTTCTTCAATCCCTCTGCCATCTGCCTGCGCCTTAAAAAAAGATCCCCCATCTGAGTCCTGGGGCCGGTTGCATAAATCTATTTAAGTTAGTCGTCTAATTTTTTTGCTTCGCGTCTTGCCTTCAGCCGTGACTTATTCACGATACAGCACAGCCGCTCGTACCTTATTGCTTAAACACTGTTAATCTGTTTTTAAATTAAAAACATCATTGTAAGGAATAGAAGAGGGGTTAACTTACTAGCTGTACGATTGTATTGGATTGTGTTGTTTGGTCGTGGCTTGGCTCTCCCTCCCCCCGGGGATTCCCCAAAACATCGGAGATATAATTTCTCGATTTCTCCTTTTCGATTTAGGAGTTGGTCCCCTTGGTGTTTCCTTTTTTGCCTCTTGAACCATATTTTTAAACCGTTTCTGAACATCTTTGATGAATCGTTGACGCTATTAACTTTTTCAGTTATTGTGGTCCAAACCTTGTGTTTTTTGCTATTCGTGTTGTAATCGCTAAATTTGTTCATTAAAGTCGATTTGGCAGCATTGTATTCCTCTAATATGCAAATGTTTTCAGCGAAGGAAAACTGTGACGAGCGCGCAATGTCGGCCATTTTGTTTAAGTTGTTCAGCGTCTTATTTTTCCCCACAAAGCAATGCGATTTAGACTGTCTTAAAAAAAAAAGATAGTTGTGAGCTTATATCATGCAATGGTCTTTCTTCAGTGACTTTAGTTAGTCCGACAATTTTTCTTAGACACAGTCTTAAGATAATGACTATGTTTATGCAACCGACCCATGAACTCCATCCGTGTGTGCCTTCCCGACAG